GTCAGTACATGCGACCACCGTCAGACAGTGGCTGAATATTTTTTCGAGCGCTTGTGGTAAAAAGTACTTTAGCCCTGATTAATTTTATTTCTGTTACGCATCACTGGTGTTTTTACTTCTATTAATACGCTTTTGCTAAATGAGAAAAAACTAAAGAAATTTATTAATTTACTAAATTTCAAATTTAATTAATGCAAATTTATTTCTTTTCAGATCAGTTACAACTATTGCAGCGGCAAATGTAATTACGGCAGAAGGGTTTATGGTGCGCCCTAACAGCCCTAGCAGCTTTAGTTCACATAATCCCAAGCACAGAGTTAAATCATTCAAAGAGAAGGGACTCAATCTATTCGAGGGGTCTATTGTGTAATCACAGCACCTATAAAAACCAGCACATAATAAATGAGAAGACTCACATGCCAGGTGTGCTCGATGTACGGCAGAAAAAATTGTGTTACGATTGGTTTTGGGGGACTACGATGTGGCAAGTACTACTCGAACAGTAACGGGTTTGGCCACACCTGAGTGGCAGATCGACCTATCTCGACAGTATTGAAAATATGTCGAGATAGGGCGTTTTTGAACCGAATTATGAAATGGGCCGTTATTGAAATGTTTTCAGAGGTAGGACGTTTTCGAACTTACTGTTGAGATAGGCCGATCTTACACTCAGGTGTCGATATGTCCATGCATCCATATATATTTATTTTTTTAGATGCAACAAAATGTTAACTCAAGCGTAAATTCGACGTTGGGACATGCACGAAATGCTTGCACTATATCTAGAAAATCGTCAGCCCGTTGCTCATATTTTCGCAGTGTTCTTGAGGAATTTTAACTTTTCTTCAAAATGATTTATTTTGGAACGAATTTCCGTCATCCCTTGTCAAGTTTGGTTTGCAGACAAAATATCTACATAAAATGGGATAATTTGTTTCTAAGACAAACCATGGAGCAAAGGACAGTCAGTTACTTACTCTGAATCCTGAACGAATGAGGCATAGTCTAGAGACTAACCCGGGTTTTTTTGTATGAGTATTATTTACAGATTTTTGGTCAATGAATTGACAGCACTTGCACCAATTTGCAATCTTAATTCGCTTACCTTGGATGCAGGACTAAAACAGGATCACCAACTGTTGTTTAATGCCGATGCAACTACAGTCAAAGGTGTTGGTGACAGCTTAACAATTTTGGGTGTATGAGAGAGCAAAGCCTGTCGAAGTCACAACCGGACTTTTTCAAGGCTTTCAAAACATTTCCTCCCAACTATACCGATTGCAGAAGTATGGGCTTTAAATGGTTTTCGTTTGGATTTTGTGCATTATTCGACTTGCATAAATAAACACTTTCTCATCTTAATTGCATTTACAGAATTCGTACAAGTGCGCGAAGGCACATAGTCATCAGCTGAGTATATTATATTGCAGATTGAAGCTAAGAAAGAGGACAATGATACAATTGGGTGTATATTATCCGCGTTAGAAGTAATAAAGGTACAAACGTATGAACGTGTTTTGATGAGAACAAAAATTCAATAACATTTCCCTTCTTCTTATTTAAACCTAACTAGATCAGAAGGAGCTCTTGGAAACTTCAAAAACTAAACTGTGCAAAACAGCTGTTGGCCCATTCGGTTGTGATGAAATATTTAATATCAGTATTGCCTTGAAAAAGCTATTTATTTGTCAAGAGTTATGTCGTCTGGCGGCTTAAGAAAGTTCAGTACCTAACATTTATCTCTTCGGATGTCTGGAAATTCGTATCGTTAATCTCTAATTGTGAATGATAAAAAGGGTTGGGAAAAATTTACTAGAAGCTGTGCTCTCGTATAAACTGATCCTGGCATAAATTATACATCTTGTTTTAATTACTTATAGGCTGAAACAAAATGTGAACATTTTTATACTTTGAAATAAACTTTCGAAATGTAAGTGAAATCGAATAGAAGAAAGTAAAAATTGTGTCTCCACACCACCTCTTATTTATGCACTCAGCATTCTTTAAAGTATTTTCCCATGTAGGCCTATCTTCATCACTTGGCAAGGCTGTCTCAACTGTGCACCTATTTTCAAAGGTTTGTATTTTTTGTTAATGCAGTAGGTAAGTAAGAAGTTATACAAGTAAGTACCCGACTTGAATGATTTTTAAATACGAATCAATAGACATGCCACTATTGAACATTATTTTTTTCCAAACGGAAATATCTATCGTTTTTTGGTAAACATGTATTAAACATATAAAAGTACAAACTTGTTCTGCGCCTCGAGGTTCAAATTTAACAGTAACAGTTTATGCGATAAATATTTAAGTATATGTATATTTTGGAAAAAATAATCGTTCAGTCACAGCTAAATGCAATATTTATGTTGCTATTGTTTTCCTTTTACAGGCATATTCTGCGTTGGTAACTACAATTTTGTTACCGGTAAATAAAGTCCCCGTGAAGTATGCAAAAACAGAATTTATACAAAACTTCATAGCTGAATTTCTGAATAGATTAACTTGTTACGAAGGTACTTAAATTTTCGGTTTTAAGAAGTGGTGTTATTTTTTGGTAACAAAATTTTTCGGTGTCAAAATGTTACAAAATGTAACAAGCAGAATAGGCCTGTTAAAGGCCCATTTATTTGTGCCCTACCATAGCCATAACCGTAACCATAACCAGTGCAATCATTTGTTCTGATCAAACCTATAGGCTGCGATTATTAGAGCTATATCATAACGTCGTAGCCATAACCATAACCGTCGGTATCTATTAAGTTTTGGTTGGTTACCATAAGCAGCTCGGAAGTTTTAGACAGAGTTATGGTTATTGCATGAAACGTGGTGATACATGGCGTATGAGTAATATTACTTTTATTATCTCATCGTTTCAGGAACTTGGAATCTGCAACACCCTGGCAGCATTTTTTAACAACCTCCTCTGAGCTCGGGTCATAAATACAAAACTGCGAGAAACCTTTGTCTAAAAATTAAAGTAAACTCAAATAGTGAAGTACATACACTCTAAAAAGTGCACATAAAACTACTACTGAAAAGTGTTTATTTTAAAATAAACGCACAAGATGTTAAAGATTTGATTTTAAACATGAGATGTTTACACATAAATTATTTAAAATTGCAAACATTTTGAAAGTAAAAATAAATTTTTTACTAACGGTAAGCATTAAGTGCTCATGTTTACTCAATTTTAAACATTTGATGTCTAATTTTGCTCTACGCGACAAACTGGGTATGTTAAATAACCTGTGTTTAGTTTTATTACACGGTCTGTAAATTTTCACACATGAGGGAAGGAAACTGGTTACCTCTCTTCATATGCGTAAATTTAAGATCAAATTTTATAAATTTTATGTAAAAACTGTGAAATTGTGAACAACAAATGTTTAAAATTCAACAAACAAATTTGAAATTTGTTCTACGCCACAAAAATGATAAGTAAAAATAAACAGGCAGTGTTTAACTTAATTAACACGATGTGTAAATTTGCATTCATTGAGATGGGAACCCGGCTACCTATCTTAATATGCGCAAATTTAAACAAACATTTTTTAGAGTGTACGTATTGCTCGAAAAATTTGTTATGTTGATTAGGTTTAAGTTCACAAAAAGAATGTGTGTTATGCGGTTGACAAACGAGCTCGCTTATTTGCACAACAGCCTTTATTTCCTTTAACTCATGTATTTTCCTCCTCCTCCTTTTAAATGCGTATAAGCAAATGCACGAAATTTTTGGGAATTAACTCGGATCCGAGAATTTTCGACGAAAGCACTGGCAAGAACGGGCAGCTGTTTTTTTTTATAAGAAAGCAAGCAAGGCATGGGAGTTTGGTGTCCGCGGTTGGAGCGATTGCAAAAAAATTTTTTTTTTTATTATTTTTTATTTATTTTATTTTTTATTTTATTTGATTTATGTATATATTTAATTTTGCTTAATTTTATTTTCATTTGCTTTATTTTATATCACATTTTTTATTTTAATATTAGTTAATTTAAATTTTGAAGAGTTGAGTTTTATTAAAAAGTCAACAACTAACTGAAATCAACGTTAGAAAAATATATGAAAATAAACATAAAAAATAAATATAAAAAAAATTAATGAAAATTCCACTGGTCGTAGGACTCGAACCCACAACCTGCGGCTCGTTAATCCGCATTACTGCCGTCTGTCAGAGAAAAATTATTATGCGCATTTTTGTGCTAGTTTATCTGCATAAGCATGCCCGTCTGTGTCGCGTTTTAATGTCATCAAAAATATGCACCCACACCTACAGAAAAACAAAGACGTTACCCTGCATCAAATTGTGAGAATAATCTCTAAAGAGATTCTTCCGAGATTAATCACAATCGGGTACAATTGGGCATCAATTAGTCATAACTAGTCTTATACGGGTATTATTGGAGATCAATTAGTCTCGACTCATCCCTTACGGGTATAATTGGAGATCAATTAGTCCCCGACTCATATCTAATGGGTACTGAAGAGGTTATATTTTATAATTAGCAAGGATAATAGCGTGTATTATATATGCAATTTTATTTTATTTTAAAAAAGATGTGTTTATTCTAT